ATGACGATATCGTGGCAAGTGCTGTTTTCAGTTCTAAATGTATTATATTTAACAGTATTACACTAGAGGAATTTTTACTTTCTTTAAAGCGATGGGTCAAAGTCTGTGTCATAAGTTTGTCAAGTCTCAGACGCTTTAGTTATCGAAAAACCAGAATTGTTGCCATGAATGTGAATGTTTAACATCTTTAGTTCTCTCAGGGCACCATATATCGATCAGTCAACACGTCTAACTTAGAAGTTACTTGTTTACTGCAGTAAGGAGTAAGCTGCATGCGTTTCCATTCCAGTATTTATGTGTCTTAACACCAGAAGAAAAAAGAAGTTGACATTAGAAACTTGAGCAAGTTGTAATCACTGGTGTGGAATAGTTCCATTAAGCCTCGTCTAAGAAAGACAAGGAAATACTGTGTGTTTGTAACGTCTGACATCTGTTTACAACATTAAAAACTATGACAATGAACCAGATGGACAAAGTGGTGGTTCGCTATTTTGACTTCTAAAGACATTCACAGTATTTTCTTGCAATTTATCATCTGTGATCAGCACATCGTAGAAGTTTTTTCTCCACTTTATGAGCGATTAGTTCTGAATTCCTTCATTCTCACGGTTTGTTTACTTGCCTGACCATAGTACGATTGTCACTTAGTTTACCTTGCAGTATGAAGATTCCTTTGATACCCGTAGTGAGTTTTCGAGTGTTACCGTATCTCATGATAGAAATTGTTTTAGTTTTATTGACCAAGCATGTCCTCACAACGGTGTACCGCCTCAACGTGGCTGGGAGTTGTTCCTGGGTGTCGGGCTGCGATGTAAAGCGGGGCGATTCGTCTCCCCGGTATCCCAAGCTGAGAATGAGACCGACGTTTCCATCAGGAAGCCTAGGTAAGAGTAAAGCAATGCCAGGACCCACCACCGTCCTGGTATCAAAGTCAGATGGTGGGAAACCTCTTTCTGATCCACAGGGGCTGTGACCCCCTGTGGTGGTGAAGATTAGGGGCAAACTTTGGTCAGGTTGACTTCGGGATTCCAGGGAACCATAATGGCTTAATCAGCAAATCTCCAAAAAATGGTGATTATGCTGAGGCCCGGACAACAAGTGATGACGGATCATTCAAGTATCAATTAAGCAAATAAGACCAAGTATGTAACTCGGTAATTTGATACTTGATACTTGAACGGCCCGTCCTCACTGGTTGTGCGTGATCCAGCATAATCACCAATTTTCGGAGATTTGCTAGTTATGCCATTGTGGTTCACTGGAATCCCGAGGTCAGTCTGGCCAAGGTCTGACCCCGGTTTTCATCACCACAGGTAGTCGCAGCCCTTGTAGATTAAAGAGAGATTTACCACCATGCGACTTTGATACCAGGACGGTGGTGGATTCTGGTATTGGTTCACTCTTAGTTACGCTTCCTGATGGAAACGCCGGTCTCATTCTCAGCTTGGGAGACCCTACCGGGGTGACGAATCGCCCCACTGTACATCGCAATCCGACACCCAGGAACACCTCCCAGCCATGATGGCGCTAAACCGTTGGGACGAATTCGGTAATTATTGGTAGGAATTACGAAACATATTAACAGCAGTCTTCGTGTTCCTTGCCTCCAATGAAAAGTAGTGAACAAAAGTTGATGTGAGCATGTGTAGTTGATGTGTGCAGTGATCAGTGCTATCTTGCAGTATACACGAATTCGTTAGTTCGATCCCGTGTACCGAACTCACCAAGCCTCACATTGGTACCAGACTTGTCTGAGAGTATAGCAGCATCGATTTAATATTTCGGTAAGCTATTGAAAGTTATCGTTTAGGCCAGATATGTATTCAGCTACTTCCACAATCCTTGATGAATTCTAGTTCATAGTGCATTCCTAAGTTGATTTACGCCGTGAGCCTTATCGTTTATGCCTTTATTAGAAGTAGTTCGGAAGATAGCAGTACTTACTGGCTTTACACATTGGTAGGCACTCGCAAGTCAGCCAAATATACATTCAGTTACCTCTAAAATGCTGCAAATCGAGTCGAATACATGACGCATCCATCACAGATTGAACAGCGTCGAACGCTTTACCCTTTATTCCATAAACAAAAAAAAAGTTTAGAAACAATTCTCCTTTATAAGATAAGCGAAGCGTTGCACGAGAGTCAGGAGTGGTGACAAGAACTGAAACATAAAGGCACTTTATTTTTCTCAAAGAATCTTCGTTTTTCGTACTTGAGGAATTTGTTGGGACCATTCGGACTGCCCTCATTATTTTTGGACTTTCAACTTGTTAGCTTTACAACGTATTTTCGTTGAGTTCTCTCTTTTCGTAGCCTGCTGTTCATGAACTTTATATATTTCTCTTTCACCAGCGATAATCATAATCAGGATAAAGACTTTTCGCCGAAATATTCATGTTTGATTTATCCTTGCTCAGCAATAAATTTAAATGGACATAATCCCGTCATGTTCTCTAAATTACAGCAGATGACGTCTCTCCCTAGAATTGGCTTCGTTGTCTTAGTTGTGTTGTTCTTCTGTTATTGACAGAGAGATCGCTCTCGATAGTGAAATGATTCATCTCATTTATGACTCGTTGTTTTCTCGAATGCTTTGCAATTTGTTCATCAAAAATGAAAGGTTTTTAAATGAAGAGCCGCAACCAGCGTCTCATCCTATCCCACTTATCATCCGTTTAAGGTGGAGGTGGCTTCACAGCTTCTAACATCCTCTTTTCTACATCGTCTATTTTCTTTTCTATTCTGCACGAAATCCAAGCTTAGAAATATGCAAGAAAAGTATATGAAGTGTCTCGTTTCACCTGTAGTCTTGTTTTGAACACGGGACAGTATGGTTAGACCTATTAGTTTGCCACCTCGTTGACTTTGACTGACTTTAACTCCGCCTTATTTTCAGCAGTAGTTTACTGACTCGGTGATTGTTATTGGTATTCCTTGTTATGTCTAGGAATAAAGTGAATTGCATTGTATTATGTCGGCTACAATGATATTTTACCAAGCTCATATTGCTCCGAAAACAATCACAATTTGGTACAGGATGTGGTTTTGTGCCGTAGGCAGTCATCGTAGTCATCAAAATTAGTAAAACGTTCTCGCCTGCTTGATTACTTAGTAAAATAATGTCTAGAAGAGGTACTACTTCTATGATGTTTTTTTAATATTTATCTATTTATATGACTTCGCAGGAACGCGTGCGGCGCAGTGAATTGGAAGAGGCACTGCGACAGACAAGTGGAATTGATCCCCGCCCTCATGATCCGCTAAGCCTTCCATCCCTCCGGGGTCGACAAATTCGTACCAGACTTGTCTGGAAGGAAAGCATCACTGTCTCGATACATCGGTAGGCCACCGCGTGTAAAGGCCAGATATGCATTCAATTACCTCCAACGATACTTAATGAAGTCGAATGCATGGCGTATCCCTCAGGGATTGATCAACGCCGAGAGCTTTATCCTTTATCCTTTATATAACTTGGTTTCACATTTCTTTTTCATTTCCTAATCATAGTACTTCATTTGCTCGGTTTGTTGTCTTGCTCCCTTCTTCCGTGAAAGTCTTCAGATTTGCGTGTGAGCTCGGCTACTAGGTGAGAACTTCCTCTTCTTTGTGAATGTTGTTGAATGTTGGTCGAGCTGATTTTTCCGTGGTATTTCATGAAAGGCGTGCTAGAAAGGTTTCCACTACAGATGCAGTTATTTGCGGACACTGGATGGATGTTGGCTTAACTTGCCTGTTGTTGTGTTAAACCGCTGACCAGATTGTATTGTATGGGTCTCCCCGTGTCCGTAAGCTTTATAAAAAACGATTAATCCGTCCATCTGTGCTATTTTGTCAAACATTTTTCGAAGATACGCAGAGTTGCAGACACACTTTCCTATCGCATTCCCGCAATATAAATAGGGTTTCGAGGAAGTCGATTACTTCCAAAGAAAAGCTTATTTACACGTAAAAATTTCCAAGAATTAGATAGAGACAATGTTAAGGAAATCGGTCGTGAGTGTCTCTGAACACCTTCAGCGTTACACTTTTTAGTACCCAGTATTACACAACTGAGCAGGTTAAGATTCTATTCTCTAAAGCTAATGGAATGTAAATGAGAAAGAAAACAACGAAGAGCTATGAAAATTAAAGCTGCCATAAAGCTATTCGTATGTTATCGATCCAATGTCTCGTTAACTGAGGAGACAGGCCCGAAATTGTTTGCTTGCTGCATGTTTACGATTCATTCGCTCGCACTTGAAACGAAAGGGACCACTTCCTCGTGCCACGCCTCTCACTCGCATTGTGCAATCAGTCCAAACGTCCTCGAAACGAACCTATAGCACTATTGATGAGTCTGATGAACGAATTCACGTGGGGATTGTTGGCTTCTGATCTGATGGTCATCGTTCCTACAGTTGTTCCCTCGATCATGTTATTCATTCTGATCACATCATTTCTTTTCGATTGTTCAAACAACGCCTCGAATCGCGTTTCTCATTGTGATCGGAAATCTGTCGTGATGTTTGTTCACGACTTTCCAACTAATTTGGTCTTTGTGTTTTCTGTTGTCATCGCAACTTTGCTACTTAAGTATGGATGTTGAGATTTCTGATTGACTGAAAACATTAACTGGTCTAGTATTACTTTAGTTTTTTATAATTAAAGTATGTTCTGAGTGGGTATTTACTTCTTTTTTTACGAACTGGAAGCTCTTACATCTTCTTCGCTCGTAGTTTTCTATTATGTTTATAATTTTATATCCCTATTTATGTTTTGTAATTACTTTGAACTCCTGTTTTCCATTGTCGGGTTTTTTCCATACTGCTTACAGTAGTCCTTTTAAAGAAATTTCCAGTGAGTGTAAAGTTGTTCTCGAAATGAGCATACCCTGTCCACCACCACCTAGCGAGGAAACGTCGGCGTTTCAAAGCGGATCACAAGGGAAAAAGGTGAGGTTTTTTGATATTCTGTTGTTTTTCGGATAGTCAAAGGTAACAAATGAGGTCTTCTTTGTAGATCCGAATCGGAATATGTGCAATGAATCGTAAAGCAACTAGTAAACCGATGAGAGCTATAATGTCGAAAATTGTCGACTATTACAAGGTTGGTTTACCATGGGATAAATTATTCTATTCCGTAGCATTAAGTACGGTAGTCGAGGTCATGGACTTAGCGCAGGCGTTTTGAGTAGGTGTTGCTTCCTCTGACACGATTTGTAAAGTTGTTTTTCTTATAGCCTTCAGTATGGGCTAATAGTGCTCTAGAGGCAATCCGGGGTTTAGTGTGTTTAAAGCAATCTCGCAAATGCTTCCTGCTTTTAATAATAACTGCTGATCTGTTTTGCGATAACATTGTTGATTAAGACAGTGAGCGAGACCTGCGGACATTCTTCCATCTTTCGCCCTAAGGGTAACTATGGTCTGTTCTGTATTGGAGCAGAGAAACGTTATCTTATAATTGGATGGGGCTTTTTTTTTTCTTTAAAGAAAAACAGGAGATATTTCCGAAATTTCACATCTTCCACAGATGGTTGTGTTTATTAGGGAATATACGGAATGCTTTAATATTGAGCGCGTTTAGCGCAGTGTTTAGAAATTTCCTGAATTATCCATATATGATTGGTTTGGTGCCATCCCTACGCATACGAGTCTCCTGATCCTTCCACGGTCGCAAAATTGGAACCAAACTTGTCTGGGAAAGTGAAAACACTGACTTGATGCATCAGCATTCAACCGGAACTCATTATGTAGCCCAATTGTGCATTGAACCAACTCTACGATGACAAGGATGAATTCGAATCCATGACACATTCCTAACGGTTGATTAATGAATGTCGAACGTTTTATCTTTCACCTTTTTTTTTTTAGTATTGTAACATTCGAGGTGTGAATTTGTGGCGTGGGTGTGCATTTGACCTTCACAGTAACATGCGAGGTCAATGTGAAGCACGTTAGCGTTTTCCTCTTCGTAGATATAAATCTTTTTCCATGAATCATAAAGATTCAGAGGTGTTTTTTTTGTCGGAGGTGGGTGGGTGTAGTCATGACATTTTAGTTATTTTGATGTCGGTTCAGATTTCAGTTAATAAGTGAGGGAGTTTCCATGTAAGATTGAAATTGCTGATCAGTTTTAATCAGTTTTAGTCCATTCTTGTCAGCCTTTGTGATTCCAGCATTCTGAAAGTACTTTGAACTAAGTGTGGCTGTTGTTGGTTGTTGAGTTCCGTTGTAATTTTCCGGTCGTAGTGATTGTGCGCAACATTCTTCAAGTGCCAGCTGACAATCTATTACGACCGCATAGCATTCAGCAAAATATTCGGTGAGGGTTTTTGGTTGGAAACGAACCTAAGAACGATACTTGGTCAACACGTATGGACGACTTTTGTATAAAGCGTGTACCCTATGCCAAACTTACGCTATTCCTTAGTGCTTATAGTTGGCACTGAAGCACCAGATTGACCAAGAAATAGTGTCATCTTTTACCGTTACGAAATTTGTAAGAAAAATTGCAATGTGTATTAGTTTCATCACACTTGCTGCTTACCATTTTAAGGTCTATTTCGTTCTTGACTGGTAATACTTTTTCTAACTCATGTTTGACAATGGCTTTTGGGCCAATTGAAATGGCGCTTTCAGCCGATGAAAACCGCATCGTTTTGCTTCGTGATTTCAAATTTTGACAATGAACAACGATAGAAATCCGAAATGTCATCAAAGAATAGGCCAGGAAAGGACTCTCGAACACGCACTGCTTAGATGGACCGAAGGACTTCGTTCTGGGATTATGTGCTTGTCGGGGAAGATCAAGTGCACTCATCGGGAAGTGATAACATCTTTCTGAAGATCGAAGCTGCGGTTACAAAACTACTTGGCGAGTTGTAGAAGGACTCAATATTCATGATTCAACAATAGTTTACCATTTGGAAGGCATCGAAAAGATGAAAGAGCTCGAACGTGTATACCGTGTGATTCGAACGAATGGCAGCGAGGTCATTGTCAGGAATTCTGTTCGACACTTTTTTACACAGCAAATACAACCCGTTTATCGGTCGCATTGTGATGTTTGGAGAAAGCTGGATCCTTTACGACAACAGATGACGGTTTACGGAGACGCTTGGACAAGGAAAAGTTATTGAACGTTTTCGAAAACCTTGTTTGCATCGAAAGAATAGTTGTAACGTCTCTTCTTCTCGTCAGATGGAATCATCCAATAAAACATTCTAAATGTTGGCAAAACGATAACAGCAGAGAATTACTTTAACGAGATCGTTAAAATCATAAAAAAAACTGCTCCGTAGGGATCCAGACATGGACAGCGGAGAAGATCTAAGCTTTTTTGACGACAACACACGACTAAATGTTGCATATCAGACACTAGCAATTGAACAAGTTGGGCTACGAATCTGCTTCATGCGCCATGTTCATTGGACCTATCACAAACAAACTTTGACGTTTTGAAAGTTGTTAAACAACTATTTGGAAAGATCTCCAACAACCAAACCCTTGACAAAAATACCGTCTAAGCATTCGCTGCTTCCGAAAAAATTCGCAAACATATTTATGTGGTAAAAACATGTATTGCTAGGAATATGCGGCTCCTAACGGTCTTTTTTTAACTGATAAACTTGTTTTTAAGTTGAATTGTGCAATTTTAAGCTTGCCATTAAAAATAGACCATTATTTTGAACTCGCTTTATTGGGAAGCGAAAATGGTATATATTGGATTTTTCGATAAAAACACAGTGCCTGGATCGTTTTGTTTTTGCCAAATAAAGCATTCTACCACTGGCCTTAGGTGTAGAAGACATCATAGTTTTCTACTTTGGAAAATGGAATTGGAGTTGTTTATCGGGAAAATGGAATTAAGAAGTTGCTCAATCGGAAAATAGAATCCGTTGTCTCACCTCCTCCTCGTAGATTTGCTTATGTATAACCTCCAGCATTCTTTTGAGGGTTTTGTCTTTGTTAAGATTTTGACAGATTTTTAAGCATAGTAAGAATACCGTGTGTTAAAAGTTCCTTACCAGAGTATAGTGGTCCTGCTAAGAGGATTTACGTTTCAGAAAAGAAAAAAAAAAAGAAAAAAGAGCAGTACATAGAAGGTTGTATCCACGTTGACATCACATGGCAGGTTTTCTGGCGGAAACTTGACGGGGTCAGGATGGATGGAATCAGCTACGTTAAAATGTGGTAAAAAATATTCATGATCCCATACACCTTGGCTCTTGAAAGAAATTAAGGGAGACTGAGAGTATTTAGGAAGAGTTTTGTTTCAAAAAAATGTGACTTTTTCTAGGATTGGCTGGAGTATTTTATTTTTCCTGAGACAGTGATTATTAATGAGCCGGTGGATCGATGGCCGCTTTGTGATTGTCTCATTTCATTCCATTCTACCGACTTCCCTTTGCATAAGGTTCATATTTTTCCTTCGTGAGTATTTTTATTTGCCTCCTATTTTTACCACTTAAATTAATCTCTACTGATTTTCAGGCTATAGAATATGTGAAACTTCGTAAACCATATGTAATCAACGATCTGAAACGGCAGTATGATTTGGTTTGTTTGTCTTCAATATTGTAGTGTTTTAAATGTTGTTTTTATCTTTTTTTCATCAACTGGTGCTTCTTCGGAAATTGACAGTAAATGATTCCTAATAAATGTTAATGTATTTGTTTGATGGATGCTTTATGACGGTCGTATTATATTTTCCAGTTGGATCGTCGGAAGGTCTTTCGTACCCTGGCGAAAGAAGGTATCGAACATCCACGTCATGGCGTTTTAATGCGAGGCGACCCAACTGAGGAAGGTCCATCTTATACATCTTTGTGAATATATTTATATATATATGTTTGTATATTGTTGTGTATATATATATTGTATATATATATATGTTGTATATATATATATATATATTTGTTGCCAGCGAAGTACGCTTTGAAAATTAGCAGTTATTCCTAATCAACAGTCATGGATATATCTTTTGTCGGTACGGAATGTCTTGGCCCGCCATCTGCACAATGATTTACTTCATTCGATATAGCATGCGCAGGGTTCTACTTAAAGATATAGGTCGAATGTGTTTCAGATAGCCTATGTTGAGACGATTTTATATATAACAATCAAAGGTGACCTGAACACTCCGTAATCCGAATAGGCTAGCTCAAGAACGTACGACAGATGAGCGGGAATTTTTCATCGGATCTCCATTTTGGGCATTGCTTGATCTTGCAGGATAATTTCTTCACGTCTGCTGCTAAAATATAGGGCAACCATGAGTTCATTAATTTGACCAGACTAGACCTTCGTTGTAATAATGATAGTATATCTGAGATGGGAAATACTCAGTTCTCAACGGCGTACGCTAACCACTATACCGAGAAGGTGACATTCTTATCGGTGGAAATTTTATATCATCTATCCGTCTCTTTACGAATCCAACCAGTGCACCTCATGAGTAAAGTTGGTGCCAATCATTATGGATGATGACAAGTTTGGACTAATTCTAGTTCTTGCTAAATGGGAAAAGTCGAGCACTGATTCAAGAACGACCGCTGCGATTTTTTCTTGACAAGATGCTCGGTAGTGATTGCTGGAGGCTTTTGACTTCACGAGTGAGTGGAATTTGTGACTGATACAAAGACTCGGCATTCCTTACTTAACCGCCAGTTGGAACAATGTTAAACAGGGATCCACGACCACATCATAGATGAGCATGTTCATATCCAATCCAGTTTGGCGTCTTGAGCACGAGAAATCTTCGAGGTTAATGTTCAACTGTTAAAGCAGAAAAACCATATGTTTAGTGACATTCCGCAGAAAATAGATGGCATTCGGGTTCTGTAGCACACATACGGCGGGCGCATTTCTGCAGCCCTGGACCAGAAGAGCATCGAGGCGCGGTCAGGCTTGAGATATGAATTTTAGTAACCTAGGTTATGCCACCTGTTTATACGTAGTGATCGTATGGTTTAGATGAATAATATTGAGAACAAGATATTTCTTGTGATTTTGTAAAACTACGTTTTTAATTGATATGTTTGATTTCATAGAAGATAACTGAATTCAAAACGAATCTGCAATAGAAGTGCGATTGGAGCGATTCCGAAACCTCAGTTTAATGCTATTTTATCGTTGTCCATTTGCATTTCACCAGTAAAATAAAGTTGTACGACTGAGTCGAAACAAGTCGAATTGATTTTTAAGTTCTTCGATTATTCGAAATGTACGTGCCACGTATGAAAGATTACAAATGTTCACCGTTAATTGTGGATCACAGTTTTATGTGTGTGTTCCAGATGGTGTACTTGTTGAGCACAATGACCATATTGAAGTGAATGGCATGGTGTTTAACAAGCCATTCGTTGAGAAACCTGTCTCAGCAGAAGACCATAATATCTACATCTACTATCCAAGCTCAGTCGGTGGAGGATCGCAACGATTATTTCGGAAGGTGACCGTGTTTTTTTAGTGGTTTCTAAAATAGGTGCTAAAAATGATCATTACGAAATCAGTCAATCAACGTATCGGTAATTATTCTGTCCTTGTTACTTGGTGACTTTTAAAACAATATCCTTCAGGATACTCTAACTCTTAATGGAAGGTTGTTGAATTCAACGCGTGTAAGTAGCTTTTAACATAACTCGCTTTATGAGAGAAGATAAAAGTTTCTCTAATAACTGATATTTTTAGCTATTATTCACTTTATTTAACTAGATAGTATAAATTAGATTGCGGTGTCCTAACATTTCAGTACGTGATGTTATGGATTCAAATTCCTCATTTTAAATATTTAGGAAAAATTCGATTTTATCGTAGGTATTGTTTACTCGTTATTGTCCGCAGATGTTTGTGAGGAAACGTTTGCTATCCGGGCTGATTAGCGCTAGATTGAATCTAAACATTTCATTTCATTTGGGGATTCCTAAAATTTGCTGAGGGTTTCATACCAATCTCTTCATTGTAAACTTTATCAACTATTTTTTTCAAAAATGAATTCAAGCACATTCCAGACTTCTGTTTCTGGCACGCTCCATGTGTTTGTTTAATATTCAGTTTGGTTCTAGTTCAAGGTTTATTGGATAAGTAACACCTGCGTGGCACCGAAAATGGAAAAATTCGCACCATCAATATTAAAAATAGGTGTGATAGTGGCAGTTTTATTTTTAGATTAATAATCGAAGCAGTTGGTACTCACCGGTAAGTGAAGTGCGTAAGACCGGTTCTTACATCTATGAAGACTTTATACCGGCTGACGGCACTGATGTAAAGGTGAGACCTTCTTTTACCGTTTGCATTCATTCTTAGTATTTACCACTTTAAGAAATGAAACGTAGAAATGGATTATTGGCGATTTACCTGATTTTGAACAGCCAGAATTTAGTGGTGTTTTGATCAATGGAGTTATTAGAAAGTATTAGTTGCCCACTTTGACCATCCATGATATGGTCAGGTTATGCCGTTTCATCCACTTGCACAAGTTAGAATGCAAGAAAAGCGTTTTTAGTCTAGAACTAAATCCTTTTGAAGATTTCAAATGTACCCTGTCTTCTTTTTTGTGGATATTTCTTGATATGGTTGCAGATTTAGATACAGCATCTTTTTCTAGGTGTATGCCGTTGGTCCTTATTATGCGCATGCAGAAGCTCGTAAGGCTCCAGGCTTGGATGGTAAGGTGGAACGTGATGCAGATGGAAAAGAAGTACGATATCCGGTGATATTGAGTCACAAGGAGAAGATGATTGCACGACGAGTTGTGTTGGCATTTGGAGTAGGTTCTTAGTCGTTGATGCTAATGTCATTATAATTAAGTTTTAACTTTAAATAATAATGCATTATTGTTATTATTATCTATTATTATTACTATTAATTACTAACTGTAATTATTAATTATTACATACATACATGAGTTACGTATTAATTATTATTATTGTTATTATTATTGTCATCTGATAGGCTAACAGATTGCCGTAAAACATGTATGACCGTATTAAATCTTCTATTTGTTGTGCGCCAGAAATTAAGAGTGACATGAGATAACGGTGTGAACACAGGAGTGATACTGATGATGAAACGAGTACACTGTGCCGTCCGCGAAACTGAAAAATAAAAAAAAATTAATGCGGCGTGAAGAAAAGGGGGAAGAGTGAATGTCAATAGTATTTTTAGGTGTATTTTGTTCGAAGGAGGTTGTAAATATACTGTTTTTTGAAATATTTAGTGTTACACTGTTTTTATTCTAGCAAACGGTCTGTGGTTTCGATCTACTCCGTGCTAATGGAAAATCATATGTTTGCGATGTGAATGGATTCTCGTTTGTTAAAACGTCAACCAAGTACTATGAGGTATTTTTCGCCATTTGAAACACTATAGTTTTGTGATCATTTTCTTAGCTGGATGTTTTTCCTACAAAGGATACGGCGAAAATCCTCGGAAATACCATTTTGCGTCGTCTGGCAACTTCAATGAGCGTTAGGATCCCATATCAGATGCCACTAGGGGAGCAAGAAGCACCACCATTACTGGATCTGGGGCTTGGAGGTCAGATATTGTTTTATTTTTATGGGGGTTATGATGGTATGAATTACAAAAGTGTTTTAGCTCATTAGTGATGTTGTTTCTTTATTTCCTGGGTTACCATGTGTTATAGAAAATATCAACTCCTTTAGATGATCCACCGTTTGTCTCCACACCGTCTGGAAAACTGATGGAACTGCGTTGTGTCCTTGCAGTAATTCGACATGGTGATCGCACTCCGAAACAAAAAATGAAGGTATTCTGTGTTTTTTTTTAGAATATTTATGTTTTAGTTGCTTATAAATGTATCCATATCGCTCTATAAAGGTGTATATTGAAGGTTATCGTACACGACGAAAGATTTTTCGCCCTCTTCAAGAAATATGATGGTTTCAAGAAGAACGAAATTAAAATGAAGAGGCCGAATCAACTGATGGAGGTGTTGGAATTGGCGCGGCAGATACTCGCTGAACACATTGTCAGTACTGGTAGTTTTGTTTTTTTTATATTTTGTTTTGATTAGCGTTTATGTTTTCTAATATGCTTGAAGTCCTTCCACTTGTGTGAGTAGGTGCCTGTGAAATGGTAGGCGGAGCAATTACATATGTGGAGGGTGATTTTAGTTAAACTATTTGTAGTCTTAGTCGGCGCTAGTTCTCCTTTCTACCAAAATAGGTTGTGAGCCGGCTACTTGTCTTTTCGAGTAATTACACAGGCTTGTTTCAGGCATTGCGCAACACGTTACTGTTATCTATGGAAGAGTACGAAGACTCTGGTAATGAATGTCAGCGTCTAGAACATGATCTAGAACAGGTCGACGAAGAAATCAAACGCTGGGATCAAATGAGAGCCGTACTAGAAATGTATGATCAACATCGAAGAGAGAGTGTGGATTTCGGTGAGAATGCCAGTAGTGTGGGTGGTTCGGAATTTACCCATAATGAATCTGAAATCGTGCATAAAGTAGTAATGGCTTGTCGTCTGGATTCGGTTGGTGAACAGTCATATTCAACTGACGGAAGCGACTCTGAAGAGGACAATAATGAGAGCTTTTACGTGAGTTTAGATAAGTACTCACCAATCGCAGTAGAGACTGCCTGAGAGATGGAACCGTGCATTCCCTAACGCTCACGACGTCACAAAACCTTTAGATTCGTGCCTTTCCTACAGAAAATACAGGTACCGCTGTGATTCATGTCACTTCTTGCGTGGTTCCTACTATTCACTTATCGATAAACTTCATCTAAATACCTTTGTGAAATTCGGTTGGCAAGTCGTACGCTGTGAAATGGACCGCGCCGTTAGTAAAATCATTGTTCCGGTTATGATTGTTTGTTTTCAGTGTGTTCTGTTTGTTACTGTGATTTACTGGTAAATAATCTAGTCTTACTCATGGTCTGTTGCTGTGCCTTTGATACACTGTGATTCCTTAATAATCATTTAGATACTTCAAATTGGTTGCGTATTGAAATAAAGTTGTTCATTCGTAAATTTCTGTGTAAAGTGACGATATGATGATTTCTCTGTTAGAAAATATTGAGGAGGTCTTCAGTGGACTTTCCGAGTTTTTAGTATGAAGTAGTATTCATTTTTTTGAGAGAGAGACGGAAAGAAAGAGAGAGTGAAGAGAGAGGTCCTAAGTGAATGAGAGATAGAGCCCTGTGAGAATATATTTTGATTATTCCGGAAAGCAGCAATGAGTGGTGGACTTCTTGCAGGTATGGTCACTTCTCCGGCATAAATCGCAAAGTACAACTGAAATATCTGAAGGTGCGTATGTGGAAAGTTCTATACTGCAAGTTTGACTACCTGTATTCAATGTGTTGCTGTATGTCTTTTGCTAAAGACAGAACGCTCTCACGACTATGATCTGCAGAAAGCATGAACTAGTCGGGGTAGTCAGTACAGATCATGATATTGTTAGAGGGTCTTCGTAACCCTCTTTACTATGAGCCTGACATGTCTCAATCTAGGCTCGTGAGTTTCGTTCTGGTGACAATGATGAGACGACACAACAGGGACAAGCATTGGTACTAATACTCAAGTGGGGTGGTGAACTGACAACAGCGGGTGAGGTTATCTTTTCAAATTCATTAAGCACAAGCACAAGTATGTGTAATTTAGCAGAAATGGGTTGAAAACAGTCATGAGAACGAAGTTAAAAGTAGGTAATACGGAGACGACGAGATTCTGGAGGTCGTCATTTGATATTAATTACATCAAAAGTGGTATGCATTGTTTTAGTTTACTAAAGTGGCGTACTTTGAACTGATTAACCTTGTTTTGTACGCAAAGAAGTGTTGCGAATAGAAACACATTGTTGGGACAACTTAGGATTCTCTTGTTAAGCTTCTGGCTGGTCGGGGTACTAAGCTCGTTGTTGTGAAAGTTTCTTGTATGAGCAGTATTCAATGGTTACCAAGTCTGCTGCCTTAGTGCCTTCAAATTTTCAGGAAATCTTCAAGCCGAGGCATTAGGAAAGCTTTTTCGTACGCTTTATCCTGGGATTCGACGAGCGGATGGCAAAAGTTCGCCAGAGGACACACAGGTTCATTATAGCCTAATTCTATTGGAATGGACTACAACTCTTGTGTACTTTTCTCTTGACTCGTATAAATGCAAGAGTATCATTTATTGCCACTTTGGCGTTCCATTCTTTGAAAAGTTACTAATCCAGGTTTTGTTAAATACTCTTTTAGTCCTTTAGAAGTTGTTTGGACTTTCATCAATAGTTCATGGAGCAAACACGTTTTTATGAGTTACATCGATTATCAGTTCCAATCCACGTATTAGTCATTGCTTATCTTTAATATGTCGCTTTATTAGATTGAAACTTGATGCTGAGTTTTTACACGCGGAGAAAATACACGAGTTCTTGTACCCAGATTGTTCCGAGATCTGAGTCGTCTTGGTCTTTCTATTTTTATCCTCACAAAATTGTCATCTAAACAGGTTATTCAGTGATACTGTTTTGATCAGTGTTGGTCATTTTTAGCTTTGCAACTAAGTTTACTCTTTGTTGGCGAAACTTATAAGGGTGTGCGTATAATTCCTGCTACCTTAAATTTCTTCCTGAGGCCACTGTAGACCAGTGGTCGGAGGTGCCCTACAATACTCGATCCCAGCTCCCTGGCCCACTGACCCTCCATCCCTCCATGGTCGGCAAATTGGTACCAGACTTATCTGGGAGGATAGCAGCACTGGTTTGATACATCGGTAGGCCACTACGAATCATTGTGTAGACCAGATATGTATTCAATCACCACCAAACGATACTTAATGAAGCCGAATGCATGGCGCATCCCCAGGGCTTAATAAAAGCCGAGAGTTTTGTCTTTTTTACTTTAAATTCCTTACGAACTTTATAAAACTTTATTTAGGGCCTTGGATTTCTGCGCCTTCACTCGACATATCGTCATGATCTCAAAATATATGCTTCTGATGAAGGTCGAGTACAGATGACGGCTGCTGCGTTTGCCAAGGTGCCATTACACTTATTTTCGAACTAGTTTTCTTTCTTGTTAATCTGTGCTGTTTTATTTTTCTTCGGTTTCTCTTTCACACGTTGATGAATTGTTATTCTCTAAAAAACGTCTATGCTCAAGGGAATGCTCGCATTGGAAGGGGAATTGACACCGATTTTGATGCAAATGGTGAAATCTGCGAACACTGACGGACTACTGGATGATGATTGTAATGCTAGAGATTTCCAGTCTGAGCTGAAAGGATATCTCCATCAAGCCTTGCAGGTGACCTCTCTCTTCAGGAGTGCAATAGCTGCGAAGTTTTTCCGAGGTTTCCTTTTTCGTCGTAACTTTTCCGCAAATATAGGTCGATCGCGACTGGACGCAAGAGGATTATCAGGCGTTGAATCCTGACGGGTTGAGATCAATCAATAATGCAATGGAGTTTATTAAAAATCCGAAGAAAATGTGCCACGAAATTGCCGGTTACGTGGAACAAATGTGCAATATTATCAAGGACAACAAGCTTAACAAACCACGTGAGTCTTGAAATTATGATAAGGATGGTTGACAGAGGTATTCGGATAAAGGCAAGAGGACTGGGTTGTTATTTGTATCGAGTAAGTGTTTTATATCTCGTTGTTATGAGTATAAATCGAGCTATAGCTTTCAGCTTTCTTCTATTGATGCCAGAGAGGTCTTTTGTTCAGGATTTGTTCTCACTGAAACATTGTTATTCTCCATTCACTCGTCTTTCGATATTCAGGGCTTTTCCTGGTATAAAACATATGTATTGATCAAGTCTACTGACTTGCATTCTGTAATGTCAGTCGAACATTGAGTATATTCTAAGCAAAGTCAATCAAAACTGGCAATCAATGGGATGAAGTGAAGGCGATTTTTGTACATCTCTGTACTGTTCGTAGCCAAAACATTTGCAAATGTTTTTTTGAATGAATTCGAGTTCCCTGTTTAGTATTGACCCCGTATGTCTATTTTTGTGTGTTTTTGAGAAATAGAACAAGATTTTGCTTTTCTGAATAGATTTTTTTTTGGTTTCTGCTTATCAGATCAAACTCGTTAACTGGTGATTGCTTATAGCACCTATAAGTCAAAAATACGGTTGACAGAAAGGCGAAATAAAGGACACACATGGCGTGCTGGTAAACGCATTATCCCCCGGAAAGGGTAACAGCGTGTTCGATCACCACCGCAGACACCAGCGGTCCAGAATTTTTCAAGTAGCTCAGCATCACTGCGGTTATATTTAAGGAAAGATTTCCCACATGAATGTGTTATTTTGAATCTCCTATTGATACTCTGCGTAATCTCACATGAAGCATTCTTTAGTAATTATATTAACTCATTTTATAGACCGTACTTTGTATTTGAACGAGACTTGGGATCTTGCCGAACGACGTTGGGGGAAGGAATTGCGAGAGTTCAGGCGTGAGAATAAAGTTGGAGATGTTGAGTATGATATTTCAAAGATTCCGGACATCTATGACAACATTAAGGTAGTGCTTCTTTTCAGTAATGTTTATATGTGCATGTCACTATGGAGCCAAATTTGGAGTTTTCCTAACTTCTCAGGTTTCGGTGACCGGAATTTCATAGCACTCAGGTTTTCACCGTTCTTATGAATCCTCACTGATGCTCATGAGTTTCACTTCGTTTCTTCCTATATTTCACCTGAAAATTGGAGAATTCCAGAGAGACATTGAATTTCGTGGGGAAACGTCAAACTTAAAGGTCTTATTGTTAAAGTGTTTTGCTATGTATCACTACTTGGATACTTGGATACTTGAATGGCCTGTCTTCACTGTTTGTGCGGACCCCAGCATATTTTCCAATTTTGGGGAGTTTTGCTGGTTTAGCCATTGTGGTTCTCTGGAGTGCCGAGGTCAGCCTAACGAAAGTCTACACCGGGTCTTCACCGCCACAGACAGTCGCTGCCTTTGCGGATCAGACGGAGATTTGCCACCATGCGACTTTAATACAAGAACGGTAGTGGATCCTGGTATTGGTTTACTCTTAGCTAGGCATCCTGATGGAAACGCCGGACTGCTTCTCAGCTCTGGGAACCCCGCTTGGGGGATGAATTTCTCTGCTCAACATCGCAGCCCGACACCCAAAAACACTTCCCAAACACGATGAAAGTGGTAAACCCTTAGGAGGAATGTCTCACTTCGTTTATGTAATGAATTATCTAAATTTATGATTGCAGCTTCTGTCGATCAATTTTACCTTGCTTTAGTAAATGTTTCGTCACACATTTTTTTTTATGCTAACTAAGTATTTTTGTGTCGTTTTCTTGTTCAGCAATCACGAGGTTTTTAAACAGCATACATTTACTTCCATAAAAACACAATACAATACAACGCTAGCTGACGTCTCGGCAGTATCGCCTTCTTCAGAGCCTGGAAGGGTATGCTGATATACAATCTACTAGGCCAAACGCTTCAATAACACCTACAAAAAGCCGAAAGACTCTTTGGTAATTACACGATCAACAACTTCCCGAAAAAACCCACCGCTTTTTCGTGACCTCCAATGAGAAAGTTTAGAACAGCTGATTATAGTCGCATATGGTTGACGACTGCACCATCTCACATCAAAAATCGATGCGAACATACGGGATCAGGTCGCGTATGACCTCCGGGCATTCGTTCCTGCTATTCATTGTAGGGTTTTTGGCATTGATCCAAAAAGCCTCAAGGAGTTTTCGCGCTGGTGTTTTAGACTCCTGTGCAAGGATATTGACTTTTACTTCAAAATCGTCTCCGCTATGCTCCTGAGAACTAAGTATTTTTGCTTTTGCCATGTAAAACAGTATCATGTGCTACTTACAGTTTTATGTGAAAACATGTTTGTTGTTCCAATTTTTCCACCACTAACTTCAGTACGATATGGAGCACAATCCGGATTTGTGTGTAAACAATGAAGGAGAGTTCGAACGAATGTATCTCTGTGTAAAAAACATGGCTGACATCGTTGTTCCACAGGTGCGATTTCCAAAATTTACACGGATTTTTCAGATTTGGTTTTTTCGTAGTTCTTCCTACTTCATGCGTGTGTGGTTAGAGGTGCTCTGCAGTACACACAAGATCCTTAGTTTGTTCCCGTAACTCTTGCAAACCATGCCACTCATCACCGCAAAAGTCAGAAAATTAATACTAGACTTGTTTCTAAAGATGAAAATACTGAATTCGTATATTGTTCCTCAAGAGTCGTTCTTTGCGCTTCCTTAAGGGTCGATTCAATATCGAGCGCTCTATTCTGTATCCTTAATCATGCTATTCAATCAAATTTTGGTAGATTGCATGCAGCTTTACAGCAACCCTTTGTTTGGGGAGAAATGGAGTTGTGTGCATTCTCTGTGTAAGCGGTAAAATTGTTACACTGCAATATTCGTTGATGTTTAGAATTTTATGACTTTTAAGGAGTATGGTATTCGCAAGGAGAACAAGATTTGTGTAGCCCAACGTGTTTGTACTCCACTGTTGAAGAAGATCAGAAATGATTTGCATCGTTGTATTGAGTGTTCTGAAGAAGACGAGAGTCAAACAAGACTTGATCCCAGGTACGACGTCAAGGCGGTTCTCCACTTGCTATTAAGTTTTGGTTCCTTTCCGCTTTTTCCGTTTTTCCAACTTAGCTTCCTGCTTCCTTTCTCATTCCATTCCGTTTTTCGATGTTGGACTGATGCATAACATTAGGAATCCAATACTGCTTTTAGATTTTAAAGGCGTTTTCTTATTGTAATAACTGAATTGTTTGCTAACGAGGTTAATAGAAATGTTAAGATCGTGATTATGACTATAGCCTCAGCTTAACTGGGTTCAATGCCGATTTGGACTGCCCAGATCAATCCCGCTAACAGGTGATTGCTGATGGCATCGATAGAACTAGCTGAGAGACAGGCGAAACGAAGGACCCGCATGGTGTGGTGGTGAACGCGTTACTCCCCGAAAAGGATAATGGCGCGTTCGTTCCCCACCGCAGACACCTGTGGTCCGGAGTTTTGCAAGTATCTCAGCATTATAGAAGTTATATTTCGCAACATACCCTGTCATTAAAAAAGAATAGGCAGCAAAAAAAAAGCTTAAGATTGTTAACTTTTTGTCTTCAGTATTTATTCATTTACTATTAATTTCGGATTTCATTGCGTTAAAAGTCGTTAGCAATGCCTGTACTGAAGCGTAGACCAAAAATGGTCCATGTTGTTAACAGACTTCTGTATTTCTCATTCATGTAATTCTCTACGCTTATGGCACATTCAAAATGAGCATAAGATGTAGTACACGTTGTTGCAACATGATATATTTGTACCTTCACAAATGTCCTTTCTTCTGTGTTGTGCTCTCTTCCATAGACATAGGCACTACGTATGTCTTATATACTCTGTAGGATGATGTTTTCACTTCATTCCATAAGTTTTCGGAAGGTACTAGTTGCTCACTACAAGTCTGACTTCTTATAGGGCATCCCAAGGTATTGCAACTCCACTTCGGCATGTTCGTACTCGGCTCTACTTTACTAGCGAGAGCCATATACATACGCTGATGAACCTGATTCGATATGGCGGATTGTGCTCAGTGAGTTACATGACCCCCTGTTTAGCGCTGTTATCCAAAACTACATGTCTCAATGCACTACGCTACTTTTTTCAGGGAACTCTAGAGTTATTAGTGACGATGTATTGACAATAGTATGACATATACATGTACATGGGTGAGAATAACTGAGTTTTTGAGATAAAGCCAATAGAACCACAGTGATACTGAGATATTTGAAAAACACCGGGCCGCAGATATCTGCGGGGAGGATCGAACCAGCTATAATCCTTTCCGGGGTTAACATGTGCACCACCACACCAAGCGGGTCCTACGTTTCGCATTTCTGCCTGCAGTGCGGGGTTTTGCAAATATCTCAGCATCATGGCGGTTACGTTTCACACCATTCCCTGCAACGAAAAAAGAATAGGCAGTGAATAAAAAGTGCCAATATCGAATGCAAATGTGACTTAGATACACATCTCATTGTACTGTGTGCCATAAGATCTGAACACTTGAAGAACCTTCCGCCAGTCCTCGTAAACACATTGGTTCGGCTCTTCAGATGTTACCTGTCTGAATTTAAGATCTGGAAGGCTAGCAAGACCGTGTTAATGTTCAGGAAGGGTAACCTCCACGATATCAGCAACTATCACCCAATCTTGCTTGCTGTCTGCCGTCTACATACTTTTCACTCGAGTCATCCTAAACAGGATTGACAGAACACTGGGCGAAGCACAGCCATGTGAGCAAGCAGGGTTTCGAAAAGGATTTAGTATGATGGAGCATATCCACACGATAACAAGACTCAGTGAAATATCGCGAGAGTACAAGAGACCGCTCTGTCTCACTTTCATCGATTTGAAGAAGGTCTTTGACTCAATTGAGGTAGAAGCAGTCATGGAAGCTCTTGCTAAGCAGGGAGTCTCTACTCAGAATATAAAGATTCTTCGTGAGCTGTATAAAAATTTCACAACCAAGATATCACCATTCTATAACGATGTTGACATTGACGTCAAAAGAGGGGTTAGGCAAAACGATACTCTCTCGCCAAAATTATTTACCGCCACCCTCGAAAACGTCATGCGAACATTGGTATGGGATAATATGGGAGTGAAAATCGACGGTCGGCAATTACACCATCTCCGCTTTGCTGATGTCATCGTCCTTATCACACCAAACATTGGCCAAGCGGAACGAATGCCTATGAACTTTGATAAAGCCGGCGGAAGAATTAGTCTTCGACTAAATCTCACAAAAACGATGTTCATGAGGAACGGTTTGCTTTCGCATGTCCCATTCACGCCCAACAGAACATATATCTCCGAATGCTCCAGTTATGTCTGTCTAGGTCAGGAAATCAACATGACGAATGACTTAGCTCCAGAGATGAGCAGAACGAAGCAAGCGACTTGGGCAGCTTTCAAGAGCATCGAGGATGTAGTGAAGAGAACAAAGAACACCCGACTCTGTGCCCACCTTTTGGACTCAACGGTACTTCCTTCCCTAGCGTATGCGTCAGAAACCTAGTCGCAGCGTATGCAGGATGAAAAATCACTCAGCGTTATTGAACACGCAGTCGAAGGGACGATGATAGGAGTATCCCGTGTCACGCAACTAGGGGAAAGAATCCGAAGCTACGACCTGTGTCAACGATGTAAAGTCGAACATGCCGTTCTCTACGCCAAACAGTCGAACATAAGGTGGACCGGACAAGTAATGCGTATAAATGACAATCGATGGGCAAGAGCCGTTAGTGACTGGATTCCTCGGGATGTCAAACGTACTGCAGAACCTAATCAGAGTTCTTTACGAAGAGCCTAGAAGAAAAATATGATGCTCGACGAGTCCCTAGAGCGAGCAGGACCCACTGGGCTACTCTTGCACGAGACAGGGAAAAATGGAAGATTTACTGGCGCCCGCTTGAGTCACTCGACGATCAACGGGACTACATACTCTGTGTCATACTAATTGGAATAGATTCTATTTAGATCTTGGCTAGAAAACATATTTTTCCTATTTCCACCACAATGAAATGACAATCATCTTGACCACACGATACGTTTCTTTTCCGCTCTTCTTCATTAAGGCTCGTATGTATTTTGATTAGCGAAGAGAATGAACAGGCACTTCCATTGTGACACACTATCATCGTTGAATGTGTGGTTGACGTTATCGGCTTCGCCGTTGGTCTCATAATTTTGAATTGTTTATTTATCTAAAAGTTTAATTAATTTGGATACTTGGGCACTTGAATGACCCGACTTCAGGGGTTTTGCGAACCCCAGCATAATCTCCTTTTCGTCGGAGTTTTGATGGTGTAGCCACTGTGGTTCTCCGGAGTTCCGAGGTCAGTCAGGCCAAAGTTTTCCCCAGGTCTTCACCACCAAAGACAGTCGTTGCCCTTGTGTATTAGAGGAAGATTTGCCACCATGTGACTAGTTTGGTGCCAGGACGCTGGTGGATCCTGGTATTGGTTTACTTTTTGCTGGGCTTTCTGATAGAAACGCCGGACTCCTTCCCATATAACCTGCCGGGGATGAACTCTCCGCTTTACATTGCTGTCCGACGCCCAGTAACACTTCCAATCCACGATGAGGCGGTAAACCGTTGGGAGTAAAGTTTAACTAAACAAATTAGAATAGTGATGGTATTTTAAAGGTTATGGAAGTGTAACCTTAAGTGGTTTCTGAGTTTCTCAACTCCTTTTACTCCGATTTGAACTAATGCTTACTTTCGTTACAGGTCGATGATAAAAAGTGGCAACGTGCAATGAATTTCTTGTCGGGTGTCACTGAGTTCAACTACATGACCCAAGTGAGTATCTTCTTATGTGTTAGTAATAAGCGTTCGATATTTCGATTTTTAAAAACGTATTGAGTTCATAGTGCTTAAATAATTAGAATTAATGACGTGTTCAAGGTTGTACTTATGGTTTATGAAGATAGTCGAGCAGATAGTACTGCAACTGGAATGGAACGTTTCCATATTGAGTTACTGTTCTCACCTGGGCTTTATCCGTGTTTCCTTACCGAAAAGGAGCGCATCTACGAAAGCCGTCTCAAGTTCGACTAGTTTTTTTTCTCTTTTCTTACATATTCGTTAAAATTCATTGTTTTCTTTCAAGTAAGACGAATGGCATAACTAAAAGCCATTCACGAGATGGTAATTGCAACGGCTCAATTTCGCCTGGGGCTACCGAAACGGCAAATGTGAGTTTCTTTCTGTGAGCTTTGAACTATACATAGATGTTGCAGTTTAGCTGAAAGTCTCGAATTCAGTGTGGACCATAATGTAGTTGTAGGATAAAAACGAAGATCCTCCACCAATATTCATCGCGGTACCGAAGATAAGTGCGGAGGACTTGTCCGTTTCTAGTACGAATGAGGACCAAAAACTTTCTGAAGTATCTGGGTAGGTCGTTTCCTATCATTAACTTTCTTTTTCTGAAAATCAATGGAGCATCTGAATTACTGTGGATATAATCTAAAGGCAATAATTTTATTCTGAAAGTGAAATGAAAGTTTTCAATCATGGTTACACTTTCAGCTTAGTGAGCTTTTCATCAAAATCTCATAATCAAGATTCTGAGGACGACCTTAACGACGCTCATTCAGTAAATCTGGTTGCACTGGACGAAGTGAACTCAAAACAGTACAGTTAGGGTTTTCCATCAAATTTTCATCTCCCGATCTCTTATCCGAGGTGTCATTTACTCGCTCCCTTTATAATCAGTTTTTCCATCGTAGTGTTGCATTGTATAGTGTGTGATTCTGTATCTTTATGGCTTCCTGATCTCGAATTTACAAGTAGACCGGTGCTAACATACCTTTCAGCAACTGAAGAGAAAGGGACTAAAAGACAAAGAAATACTATAGGAGGCGAGAAAGCAAGTGAAGAAGGAGATAGACCGCGAGAAAACTTAGATGATTGGCATCATGAAAATGGAGTTCTGAAAAGTTCTAGCCAGGTTTGTTTTTTTTAATATTTTATGGTATGTAAAATTGTGGGAAAAATTTAGTATGTCAAACATTCTGGCACGTGTAACGCAGTGGTCAGAGGCGCCCTGAAATACACACGGGATCGATCCCCAAGCCCAAGGCTCACCAAGTCTTCAATTTCTCCGGGGTCATTGGTACTAGACCTGTCTGGGATGATAGTAGCACTGACTTGAAATATCGGTAGGCCACCGTGAGTCATTGTGAAGGTCAGATATGCATTCAATCACCGCCAACAATGTTTAGTGAAGTCCTTTTATTCTTTTATCAAACATCCTTGCTGTAGGAGGATACCACTTCTATAACAAACTGATTAAGGCATCGATAGGGGACGATGACTGTCAAAATACTGTGGGTCATAGTAGAGGAAAATGGGCAGTAGACCTCGTTGATGAGACAAAAAAAGCGATGAAGAGCATCAAAGAGGTTGAAGAGAAGCAAATGGAACTCAAGGAAAACACGTGTAAGTCCACATAGACTGCGTTATCGCTTGTTGAAAGCGCTGAGTTTACAGGTACACATAGGTTGTGAATACCCGATAGCATTGGCTATTTAAAACAGCAGCAAACGAAAGAACTGAGAACTATTTCGCAGTAAATTGGTAACGACTTGACCAACGGTGTTTTCGGTTGTTTTTGGTAGATGTTTTACTTCCCCTAATTTGTGAGACTTTCGAAAACTTAACGTTCAAAGAAATGTGCTCTGATATCACCAGAGTTACCAGTTTATCTCGCCGCACCACTTTCCTGATAGTTAAATTCTCACAGAAGCTGTCATTCCGTTTCAATACGTTTTATCGTGAGGTTTTTGCAGTCAATTTGATGACAGTTTCATTTTTTCATTCGAACAGAATCCATTGAACGGAAACATGTGGATATTATGTTCATTCCGAGAATTTTCTCTCCAACAGAGTTCGATCGGTTGAACTTCACAAGCGATCAGCAATCGGCGTCGTTATTCGCCGCCGGCTGTTTTTCAAGAACTTTCTCAATTTTTTTCTTTTACCTTGGGACTGTTCACTATCGCTTTTTTTCCTTCTCTCTCTCTTCCTGTATTTTTTTCATTGTCATCATCTTAGTGCATGTTCTGAAGTTCACCTACAGATGTAACGCATGAGTTATTTTCAGCGTTGCCAAAGACGGATCAGATTGTGGCCGAGGATAAATGTATGTGGACGAGTTGTCGTGTAATGATCTATCATTCGTAACACTCACTGCTAACCGCTGCTTTCCATCAAAATCGATCAATTATCGATTAATCGATGATTAGTAATTCTCTGTTTGGGCGTCTATGGCGACATCGTGTTTCGTTCTGTGTTTATAGAGTTGGCAATGATTTCTCAAATTAACAGGAAGACAAAACATTAAGAGGAACCACACCATCTAAGTCCAACGCATAAGTTTCTCCCATATCTAGGAAAGCTATACATAAAGCCAGATATGTGTTCATTGGGCGGATCCTTTTGTTGTTTATCTGTTGTTGCTTCGAGCTCAGAGAGGTGTTTGTGCTTGGTGTTTATTTCTTTCAATAAGTTTTCTGCAATCTGTCACTAATTCCAATTTTTTCTAGCGCGTCGGTCACGGTTTCCGTACAGATTCAAACATCACACAGTCAATCTACTAACAGGTAGGACTGTATCATTGTTATTATTTTACATGGTTTATAGACTCTATTTGAGCATTTTATAAAGTACTTGCATATATTTTGTTCCACGATCTTCTCTATGTCATTCAAGATATTAGTTGCATTTCTTTTCTATTTATTGTTTACACCAAGTAATAATTCGTCACTTGTCGTTGCACATGCGCTTGGTTTCCTTTTACGCACGGATTGTTAAGAAGTAGTGTTTCTCATAATGTCTACCACAGGAGCGTCAGAGGTTCAGAATCGATTGATCAGCACCAATGTGCTCACGGGGAAGTACGGTGGTGAACATTTGGATAAGAATCGTAAACAAAACTGTGAGAACTTTATTAGCTACAAGTTTTTTTTACTTTTTTTCCACATTCACAATGGCGATTGATTAGAGTTTGGTTGAAGATGTTCCTGGACCAGCTGTGATGTCTACAGCAGTCATTGCAAGATCTTCAAGCGCACCGCGTCTGCAGACGTACAAAGCCGAAGATGACATATCTGTTGGGGGTAAGATTTTAAGCGGTAGTTGTTTGGAGATGATGATTGTTATCTGAGGTAATAAATGGCACTATCTTGATCCAACAGTAACAGAGCTCAATTTTTTACTCCTACCATTTAGTATCATGAGCCGGTCTCGACATTAGCATTTGCCTGAGGTCTTGAATAGATTGTCCATGAAATTTTCCTGCTTTTTTCGTTTTTCCTTTATTTGCACGCACTATGAGATAGATATTAAGCGTTCCAAACTTTTCTTGCGAAAATAATTTTTTATTTACTGTTGTCATTCATTTTTGGAAGCTATGAGCAGTTATCGTGATATTGTGAATATAGAGAACTTGAAACGATGTTTTCACCAAATTCGTCTCCATCTGTAATTTTGTTGTTTGTTGAGTGATTTGAGTGGATGCCAGTCAAGTCTCCATTCATCTCTCGCACACGTCAAAGCAGCTTATTTGCTTCTGCTCGCTCGATGAACACGAAGAACATCATACTTCTCGTATGCATGGCCTCTGTTTTATTGTTCGCGACCAGAGCGCAATAGGTAGCTTACGGGAGTGTGCGGCAACGTAAGATAGCTAAACTTATAGGTTTTTCTGAAACTTTATTTAATTATATAGTTTATAATAGATTTTGTTGTCATTGAAGCGCGGCGAAGAAAGTACATTTTTTTTAAACGGATCATCACTGGGGTCAGAAAACTTCACACAAGAAAGGCGTGGAATAGTTTTCGAGGGTTTGGCCATAGATGAAGTTAGATGAAGTTGCACTAATCGTCTTCAATGGTGTTATTTGCTCTGAGAATGAGAGAAAAAATCAATTTCAAATTGGAAATCTGAATGGGACTTGACGCGAGGTTACAATAGCTTGTCAAACCCGCAGTGTGGTGATTCTTATGATAAATGTTGGGTTACTTGTGTCTGTGTATTTCGCACAAGGGTTTGACATCATGTATTGAACGTTTTCGAAATTTCTCATACTACGCCAACTAGCGCATTTTCTTGATATGTTATCTGTTTCATTTCCTACAAAACTAAGAAGACATGCACTTCATAAAAACTTTTAAAATGCCCAAAAACAGCTTTTTCATATCCTATTGATTCAAATTTTCCATCTTTTTCACGACGTCTCCTTAAAAGTGGCACTAAAGCCGCTCAGTAATTCAGGTAATCTGATATTTTCAGCTTTTTAAACGGTGAACAAGGTGACGCTGAAAACGTTTCCGGTTTCAGAAATCAAACGTTTTTGGCCACCTCTTCGTTCGTTGGAAACGTTGCACGACAATCTGTCGTTCATGCAATTCGACCGATTCCTTGCACATCTACTGACCTCTCGAACTCCTTTACCCTCACCACCAAAAACGCCACTCCTACTCATTGAGGAAGGTTCGTTCCTTCATTGTAGTGATTTCATAAATTTTTCGTTTTGTAATTTACTTTCTTAAATTTCGTTCAGTATTCGCATTTGCTATGTGTGTGGTTTCATTCCATCCTTATTTTCCGTTCAAAATCACGCAGATGGATGTTGAAAATATTTTTAAATCTTTATGTGGAGGTTTCATCCTAATTCTGAAAATATTGACGTTCCAGATTTTGGACCTATCATTTCTATAAACCGCACCATTTATTTTTTAGCATGGGAAAAATTGTAAGGTTTGATACTATATTAGGTAACATTTTTTTAAGCTTAACAATCCGAGAACGTATTGTTGGTAGACGTTGCTCATAACCAAAAGGTAATTCGTCTTTATGGATCACTTCATCCAAGCCGTCACAATCTGCAACCGTTATATTTCCAGTGAATCGTAATCGGCAGCGTCTGTAACAACTGTGGCAAGGTTTATAAAGTCCTAGTGTAAGAACTAGTTGTAGCTACTGTTAAATTGTTGATCAATGCTCAGATCTCGGTTTCTTTGAAACTGGACCATCCTAATCTTTAGTTTAAGCTTAATAGGCTCAAATCAAAGCATCTCATTCCATATAGTTTCTCCAGAGTGCAGTTCTTTCTACCAGAAAAATTTTGGAAAGTTCCATTTACAATATTAAAATAGTCGGAAAATGTTTTGGCATATTTGTCACCAATAGTACTTGATAGTAAGTGCAAAATAATCGCTTAGTTGTCTGGAAGGGATTGAGCAGCGAGTGTGATGATTGTTACGAAAAAAATTGGAAATTAGTAGGACTGGATTACTGGAGACTCCTATACCTACAAAATCACTCATGTTTTCAGTTTAATATAGTACACTTATTTTCATGGTATGGCGAACCAGCTGTTAACAGGTAGACCTCAAAATGCACTCCCACTTCATTGTTTCCTTCTTTTAAAAGCCAATAAATCTACATAATAGTGTTGGTTTTTTAATTTACTGCTTATTGCCATTTTTCACGGCAGGATGTTATGTGTGGTACAACCACAACGCTGAGATCTTTGCAAAAATCCGGATCGCAGGTGTCTGCGGTGGAGAACGAACGCACTATTACCCTTTCCCGAGGCTAATGCATCCACCACCACACCGTGCGAATTCTTCGTTTCGCCTGTCTCTCAGCTAGTAAAAACGTTAACATTGTGATTTCGACTACAGCATCAGCTTAACTGGGTTCGTTACCGATTTGGGCTCTCCAGATCAATTCTGTTGACGGGTGATTGCTGATGAGACTGATCGTTAAAACTGGCTGAGAGATAGACGAAACGAAGTACACGCATGGTGTGGTGGTGAACAAGTTAGCCTCGGAAAGGCTGATAGCATGTTCGTTCCTCACCGCATACACCCATGGTCCGGAATTTTGCAGCTATCTCAGGTGCATAATAGTTTAACAACCAATATTTTAGTGACATTTAGTATTAATATTATTGCTATATTTTTGTATTATTGCTATTATCTCATAACGATAATGGCGCGTGTGGCGCAGTGGTTCGAGGCGCTACTGCGATACACATGTGCAATCGATCCACGCCACCATGGCCCACCAAGCCTTCTATCTCTCCGGGGTCGGAAAATTGGTAACAGACGCGAGTCCATTGTAAGGACCAGATATGTATTCAATCACCTCCAACGATACTGAATGAAGTCGAACGCATGGCGCATCCCTCAGGGATTGATCAACGTCGAGAGCTTTGTCCCTTATCCTTTTGTCTCACAACGGTTTTATATTATTTGTTTATTTGATATTTTCATTAATAGTTTCTTTGTGACTGCGTTAGTATGGTTTAGCATAACATCTCACTTGGATACTTGGACGGTCCGTCTTCACGAGTTGTGCGCACCTCAGCACATTTGCTATTCGTTTCTTCCTCTCACAATCGTCGTCCATGGCGTTGGTTTTATTCGAGCATCGTGGCGCCTGCGAGTCTCATACCGTGATCTGTAAAACGACTGCAACCATGAGTACTTTGATTACGAACGCGTCCACCCAACGTGTAGGTGGCTGTCCTTGGGGACGCCTGAATTCTCGTGGAGTCCATTCTACAGTTCTTTTTGTCCATCTGTCGTCTGTTCTTCTCATTAAGTGACCAGCCATCCATGTTTCGCTATAGATATATATTCTCCTGGATCTCGAAGATGTGACAGATTTCGAAGGTCTGAGCTTCGCAATCCGGTTAGGTATTGAGAGTGACGGTTATATTTCACAATGCATCGCTCAAGCACTCTGTGAGCAGTGCGGTGTATTCTTGACGTGGTTGAAGTATCAACCCATGTCTCTGCAGCTTAACAGAGCCCTGGGAAGACCTTCGAATCAAAAAGATGAGCTCGGATTTTCAGGTCCTTCACTTGATCGGTGGCTTCTTTGAGAGGCCCGAATGCGGTTCAAGCTGCTCTTCTTCATCTATAGAGTTCCTCCTTCATGTTGTTTTCCATGTTCATTGATCGCCCAAGTTATGCGTACGAAATGGTCTCTGCAATCAAAGCCATACAGTTCAACTTGTTCGCAATGGTACCATAGGCTTTTCATGAACTGAGTTTTTGTTCGATTTATGCGTAATCCGATCTTTTTTCCCGCTTCGTTGAGCTCGTTGATCATCGTCTCTGCTTCGCTGGTACTTCTTGAGAAGATGACAATGTCATTGGCGAAACGAAGGTTTGATAGGAATATTCTATTAATACATATGCCTTTCTCATCCCAATGACTTCATTAATGCATCAGTGAATAGCATCAGTGATCAGATATGTTTTACTAATATAAAATTTATAGATTCTACTGAAAGGAATCTAAAAGGAGTACGTGAAGAAGTGGAACGCCTCAAGGCGCTAGGGATAAATGACAGGAAGTTACTATAGCTATTTGTCAACCTACAAAGTTCATTAGAAGTTCGGGTTTAAGCATTGATATATTCTTGACTTGTATTCAATTCTAGTGGGCCAATGTTGTTGTTCTTCACTGGTCATGTCATGGTCGTCAATACTTTAACTTATTTTCGGATGTTTGAAACAAACTTGGTGTTGATGCTTAACTATTTTGAACTCTGTGATGTTAATTTCTATTTTCATATGTCTATTTTCAGTGCTGTTTTTTTCCAGTCATTTAGGACATCAGCTGCGATAATGTTCCAATTTTTTCTTTAAATATTTCAAACCAAAGTGAGATTTAAAACAACCCTGCTTCTCTTGTATCGACCATTAATCGGTAGGGAAAAGTAGTCATCAGTCATTTGTGGTAGAATTCGGTTAACATGAGTGATACAATGAGCATCGTGTTTTCCTTATGAGGTTTCTGGTTCCCAATGGTTTTGGCAAGGAAGCTGCTATAGCTGGGCTAGCCGTGCTCTTCCCGGATGTGTCCACGTGTACTGTGCTAAACCGATCCCAGTATACTTCCTAATCAGTTGATTGTAGATTTCTGATGGAATAGATGTCCTAGCACGGCTTTACTGAATAAGGGGAAAATCTTCAAATTCACCTCGATCTCAGAAAGGCCATCTATCACCACGTTTGGAAAGCGTTTGACCTCAAAATTTATCGGCTCGAGACTCTGCATGATAAATTGCATGTGATCATAATTGTACAGCATAACATGTGTTGGTAATAAAGTTTTATTCTTAGAATCTTGTGAATAACAATTCAGAAGTATATCGACAGATTGACTCTGTATGTACATATTTAGACCACTAGGATCCATATGAGTAGTCATAGCATTGTAACGAAGGAAAGGAAGTTATAACTGGCATGAATCTGAAAACATGACAACGAAAGGAAATTCAACAACAACATTAAACGTCGCAAAAAAATCTCTAGCGATTAACCACATTGATGGTTTCTTGCTAGGCAGTATTTTATAAATAATCTACTAGTAGTCACGCTTAGAAATTTGACTGTGCATCAATGGTACAACGCTTTTCCAACACCCTATTGTATAGAGAAACTATCCATCATATAGTGTTATTTTTCAACTATTTATAAGGTATTACATTTAAGAAATTCATAAAACATCAAAAGCAGAAAAGAAACAACAGGAAGACAAAAACAAGTAGCAGCCCGTAATCTGGATTTTTCAAGCATACGGTGCACTGTAATCTGACGCGATTACGGACTTCACCATCAAATTATAGCGGACGTCACCATTTGATGAGTTTCATTAATTTACTCTTTGGATAGTTTCTTATGAGGTATTTCCGACCTTCATTGTAAGCAAGAAGATAAAGACCGACCAATGGCGCAATAATCCATACATGCGGCGGAGGTGGATGAGTGTCCATGAAGTATTGACTCATCGGCGTGTAGACGAACATCACCAACAAAAGGATCTGAGGTGAGTCGTTATTATCGTATGAGCTGGTTTTTCGTCATTGTTGTTCATTTAGGGAAATAATAGGAGATGGATTTTTTTTATTACCAGAAGAATAGTGAAGTGAGACCATCCTCTGATAGGACTTCATTGAAGCTTATTAAAGAAAGTGTACATATTTCTAATCAGTATCCGTTCATTTACTTGAATTTGTAGTTTAAAAAATGATAAAAGATAGAGCTACTGGCACTTATCAATCCCTGAGGGATACGCCATGCATTCGACTTCATTAAGTATCGTTCTAGGTGATTGAATGCATATCTGGCCTTTTACAATGACTCACGGTGGCCTACCGATGTATCGAACCAGTGCTGCTATCCCCCTAGACAAGTCTGGTACCAATTTGCCCATCCCGGAAGGATGGAACGGTTTGGTGGGATGGGTCACGGGATCGATTGCATGTGTATTCCAAGGTGCTTCTAACCACTGCTGCGCTGCACCCGTTCTTTCTGTCCTTAATACTTGTGCAGTCACAATTTTTTTTTACGTATTTTACCTCATTTGACCCGTTTTCACGTCTACTGTGAGGATCCCTGCATTTCTTACATTCAATTTGTCTCCTCACATTCATCATCCAGGAAGATTTTCAGACTTTACGTGTGGCTTCGGTTGCTGCTTGAGGAATTTTATTTCATCTTGAATGTCGTAGAATGCTGGTCGAGCAATTCTCCCTGGATATCTGAGATAGCCTGACTGGAGCGTTCCCAAATGGATTGCAGACAGTGATTTTTTTCTCAGACGAGTCCGGTACCAATTTCCCGACCCCAGAGGGATGAGAGGCTTGGCTACCCGAATCGGAATCGAACTAGCACCATGCTCGTGATGACGGGCATCACAACCACTGTGCTATCCGCCCCTCTTCATTTACTAATATTGTGATAATGTCAAAAGTCAAAACAACTATTCGTAACTACTTATTTCTTGGTTGTATTTCATGTTTTTCAAACCTTCCTACACGGGAAGAAAGTTTTTAATAATGATCGAAATGCTAATTCCATTCTTTAACCGTTTAAACAGCACATAACACATTCAATTTCAGCTACTTAAGTAGTTCCGGAGCGTAGGTAGTGCTGTTGTAGAGATGTCATCCACTACTCGCAATGCCCTGGTTTGATCCAGCGCCGGTTAAAGTGAGTCTCCCATTCCTACGGGATTACAGGATAGGTGCGAAACTTACCCGAGAAGACCTCCCTCCGATCTAGAAAAGCTGGTTACTGGCTATGGTAAGGACTTAGGAACACGGCTGCCCAAAGATTCCTAGGAGAATTGACTTAACCATCATTCAACGACATTGATAAAGAAGACCAAAAATCTTCAGTCAGAAGTCGAACCCACACACAAAAGTGTGGTCACCTCTGTGGGTGATTAATTCGAAACAATCTAAGCTAATCAAAGAAGTGCAGGGATCTGCACATTATCTGGTGCCAAGCCATATAATTAAAAAAGAAACTAACACTTCCCTAACATTTGGTGGTTTTACATACCAAAATGGTTTGTAGTTCGTGTGTTAAGGTCTGTCAATAGCTTTCGAAGATGATTGACCGGATAATTTTGGAACTTAACCGAGCATTTCTGCCGGATTTTTTTTAGGAATTGAGTCGTTACTAGTTCTGAGATAACAAACACCACCTACAGATGAGGGTGAGCGATGACCAAGCCAGCGCAAAAACCACGTTGTTCATTGCCTTACTCCGAAATTGCAAAGGGTATCGCCTATTTGTTAGCAACTGCATGGAGCGCAGCGGTTAGAGGCGTACTGAAATGTGCACATCGGTTCAATCTCGCTTGCTGAGAGCACGAGGCCTTTCATCCTTCAGGGATTGGCAAATTGGTACCAGACTTGTCTAGGAGGATAGCAGCACTAACTCGTCACATCGGTAGACCTCCGCAAATCATTTTGTAGGCAACAAGCCTTCAACTTGGGTAATTAAACCTGTTGACTATGCCCATTCACGCTCAGCGGAACAAATACTTTCGAACGCTCCAGTTATATCTATCTAGGTCAGGAAATCAATATGATGGACGACTTAGCTCCAGAGATGAATAGAAGGAAGCAAGCGGCTTGGGCAGCTTTCAAAAGCATCGAGGATTTAGTGAAGAGGACAAAGAACACCTGACTACGTGCCCACCTTTTCGACTCGACGGTACCTCCTGCCCTAACACATGCGTTAGAAACCTGGTCGCTGCGTATGCAGGATGAAAAATCACTCAGCGTTATTGAACACGCAGTCGAAGGGACGATGATAGGACTATCCCGTGTCACGCAACTAGGGGAAAGAATCCGAAGCTCCGACCTGTTTCAACGATCAAAAATCAAAGATCCCGTTCTGTACTCCGAACAGTCGGAAATAAGGTGGATCGGACACGTAATGCATATGAATGACAACCGATGGACAAGAGCCGTTAGTGACCGGCTTTCTCTGGATGTCAAACGCACTGCAGAAAGACCACTGACTCCATGGTCAGAGTTCTTCACGAAGAGCCTAGAAGAAAAACATGATGCTCGACGAGTCCCTGGAGCGAGCAGAACCCATTGAGCTACTAATGCACGCGACAGGGAAAAATAGATTTAATGACGCCCCCTCTAGCCACTCGACTATCATCAAGACTACAGGTTATACAGGTGATGCTTTCAACTGCTCCTCACGATGCTTGAAGAAGTCGAATACATAGCGTAGCCTTCAGGGATTGATCAACACCGACAATTTTATCATTTAACCTTTCAAATAAGAAGTACCAAAGCAGTAGGAACACGTACAAGATGACTACAATAATTACAATAAGGCTGAGTCTTTATAATCTTAACCGCTTTATTTACTGCCTACTGTTTTTAATGGTAGGGTAAATTGCGAAATATAACTTCAATAATGTTGAGATATTTGCAAAACTCCGGACCGCTGGTGTCTGCGGTGAGAAACGAACGCGCTATTGTTCTTTCCGAGGAGAACGCGTTCGCCACCACACCATGTGGGTCCTTCGTTTCCCCTGTCTCTCAGCTATTTCCATCAATCTCTGCCATCAGCAATCAATCAAATATCTCAGCGTTATTGTAGTTGTAGTTCGCAATATATCCTGCTGTTAAAAACAGTAGGCAGTAAATAAAACGGTTACGATTGTGATTATAACTAAAGTCGCAGCTTAACTGAGTTCATTGCCGACTTAGGCTGCCCAGATCAATTCCGGTGACGGGTGATTGCTGATCGCAGAGATCGATAGAAATAGTTGAGAGATAGGCGAAACGAAGGACTTGCGTGGTGTGATGTTGAACGCGTTACTCTCCGGAAAGGACAATAGCGCGTTCGTTCGCCACCGCAGACACCTGCAGTCCGGAGTTTTGCAAATATCTCATCATTATTGAGTTTATATTCCAACAAGGCCACATAAATTTTTGAACACGAATGCGCAGGGTTCCGGAGCATTCCTTCAAATCCAATATCTCACAAACGTTAGAGGTCGTCGGTTATGCTTACAATAGCGCTGTGATTGCTTTTTTTTGCAAGTTCCCTGCGTTACAGCACTCTCAGAGTCATTTGTTCACTGAATTTTTAAATTAAGAAGTCTGTCTCTTCAGCGCACCTCGATAATCACAGCAAACACGGAGACAATGTTTGAGATTCCATGTTTGAAGACAGAAACCCGTCGTGTTGCGCAATTATAGAGATGAAACACCTAAAAAAAATATCCTTAATCACTTCGAGTATACTGGAACATACAGCACATTCTCGTCCTAAGTACGCGAACTAAAGAGTTTGAAGTAAACTTGTACTAGACCACGGACACTTTTCCTCAGTACAACAAGCTACACAACTCAACTCTGGCTGTTCTGCCTACGAACAATTAGAAATCAGCCTAAGTTAGAAACTAGTTTAGCTTAAATCTATGGCATACGGCGGTGTTAAGAGATAAAAGATACAGGTCCGTTGATCAAACCCTGAAGGATTCGAAATGCACTGAACCTCATTCGTAGCGCAGTAGAGGTGATTGAATGCATATTACGGTGGTCTAGTAGTGTATAAATTTTTATTCTTCCAGATAAGGCTGTCGCCAAGTTTCCAACAGCGAAGGATGACAAGCTTCGTTGGCCGGGAGCAGGTTTAAATCAGAGAGCATGCACCTCTAGCACGGCACCTATAATCACTGCGCTTCCCGCATTTCCCGTTTTCCTCATCAGAACAAAACAATACTGAAGTCTGAATCAAGCAATATCTGCGACTCTGTGATTGATAGCTTTCAACCTCCTCCCATTTTCTACAATCCTGTCTGGAGACTCATGCTAGGAAAAAAACAAAAGCATAAAGGATAAAAGCGTTCAGCATTATTCAATTCCTGAGAAATACACCATGCAATCGACTTCATCAAGCATTGCAAGATGTGATTTAATAGTATCATAGCGTATACAATGAATTGCAGTACCCAACCAATGTATCAAACCAGTATTTTTATGCTCGTATATAAATCTGGTGCCAATTTCCCGAGTTCGAATAGACAGAAGCCTTGGTGAGCACGGGGCACGGAATCAAACAAACGACCACATGCGTATTGCAGTGTACGCTTAACCACTGCGTTATACACATCCCAAGTAAATGACAAAACTCATAAGTCTTCAACCAAAATTTTGTCGTCGCCTTTTAATCCACCTTTCAGCTTAAATCAACTCACCTGTGACATAACGAGAACGATTTGCCACGCGGCTGCCGCCTGACCTTTGATGAATAATTGCTGGTTTTCGTCATACACCACGCCATCACTGGTCGTGAAATTAGCGGCACCGACTTTCCAGTTATGTTCAGCAGTAAACAGAAGATCGTTGAATGAGATATTGTGATACCTAAACGAATAAAGTCTTCATTCCCCAACAATATGGTAAGCTGAGAAGATATTCGAGATTTCTAAACTCAGCTTCGAGAACATTTAGCCAAAATAGCCATCTTTTTCTTCGGCAGAAAATGAGAGCAAGAAGTTCGCCGTGAGCAGTCAAAGTCAAAACGGAAATGCAGTTGTGTCAATGACTACGATCTGTTGCTTTTCGTGTCTTGACTTCAAAATTTCGAAGTGCCTAATGAATTTTTGTTTATTTAAATAGTACGTTTTAAGTGTACTATTGCAATCAGTTAAGCGGTCGGAGGGGCCCTGAAATACGTGGAATTGATCCCCACGCCTATGGTCCACCAAGCCCTCTATTCCCCTGGGGTCGGCAAATTGTTACCAGACTTGTCTGGGAGGATAGCAGCGCTGGTTCGATACATCGGCAGGCCATCGCGAGTCTTTGTAAAGGATATGCATTAAATCACCTCCAAACAATGATTAATGAAGTCGAATGCATGGCGCATCCCTCAGAGATGGACTTTTTTTACGATCAGTTGTAGCACGTTCGTTTTCCACGCCATGTAAACCATCCAAGAAATCACTACATACTAGTTGATAGGAATCTTAACAGTAATGCTTTTGTAGCGAACAAATCAATATATTATCCACTGGTTAAGGCCAAATAAAATTAGTTGATTGATGATATAAAAGGACATAGAAAGTGTGATGCGTGTCCTTTCGATTGAACAATATTTTAATGCTTTAGCATTTATCTCCATTCGAACTAAATGGGGATTTTAGATCTTATATGGTTATCCAGTTATTGAAATATCGCTCATGAATTATTAAAACAACTTGTACATAACTTCTTAAGACCAACGAATTTGTACATGGTAAGAAAACGAACCAGTATACACTTAAGTAGGCCGCCATACAACCGATCGTGATGCCGGTACCCGCGAAGAAGTAAGCGTAGGCGAGTAGTCCTTTGGAGAGAAGACGAGTTTTCCGACTTCGTGGACGAGTTAACATAATATCCTGCTCCGGTTGCTCGTATGCTAGCGACACTGCTGGAGGTAATTCAGATGCCAAATCAATGGATAGTATCTGAACGATAAATTATATGGGAAATTATATCAATGTTTTTTAATTTCACAAGGATCATACCTGCACCGGTGATAGTCCTTGTGGTAAACCGAGTATAAACGTAAGCATAATAGGAAAGAGTTCCGGCCAAAGATGTGCAAAAGTGTATGCCAACGAGAGCCTGGAAACAGTATGACATAGTACGGAGACCAGTTCTGGAATCGTATGGAAAATACCAAAAGTTGAGACCTCAAATTGTCGAACAAAAGACGACCTTCCTCGATTCCCATCACGATCGATGCGAAATTGTCGTCCAAAAGCACAATATCAGCTGTTTGCCTAGCAATATCGCTACCTGGACAGTAATACTGTATATCATATTGAGGAAATTTAGAACAAAATTAAACTTCAAATAGTTGGTCGTGGCAGTTCAAATATTATTTTCTATTTTGCAAAAGCTCGTTAAAGTTTCAATGCAAGTAAACGACAAGGGAACTTTGTCTTAAAGATTGCACATGATGGGTTCAAAATCATAGGTTGGTAAGTTGTAGCAATGAAGCTCCTGCGAGCTAATTTCACCTTAAAGCATAGGAAATTAGAAAGGAAGTACCCAATTATGACAATAAGGTCCAGCATTAGTTTATTTGAAACATTAGCAAGTAAACGCTTTGTTAAATAAACCGCTTTGTCGTGCCTACGATGAACCCCTGGGTGTCGAACTGTAATATTCAATGGGCGATCATTCTTCAGCTAACAGATATCAAAGATTTAGATAGTTCTATCGGGAAACAACTGGTAGTAAACTTATAGCATAGTAGGGTCCGATGAGTTACTGGTGGATACTTTCTAGTAAGATACTTGAATTGAGTGGCCCGTCTTCACTAGTTGTGCGGGCCCCACTATAACTTACATTTGCTGGCTTAGCCGTTGTAGTCCTTGGATTTCCGAGGTCAGCCTAGTCGAAGTCTGCCCCAGGTTGTCACCATCCCAGGCAGTCACCACTTCTGTGGATCAGACGGGAATATGCCATCACGTAACTAGTTTGATACCAGGACGATGGTGAGTCCTGGCATTGGTTTACTCTTAGCTGGGGTTCCGGTTGGAAACATCGCATTCACTTCCAGCTTGGAAGACCTTGCTGGAGGATGATCCAGCTGTACATCGCAACCCGACGCCCAGGAACAGATCCCAGCCATGATAACGCGGTAAACCCTTGGAAGGTTCTAGTAGGAAGGTGGTAAAAGCAAAAAAGAGTAGACGGCAATGTTTAGGTAAATTTGGTAGAGTTCAACGAATAAGGACTGGTTACATGGAATAGCTTTTCTTCCATTTCTGTAACAATAGCTCTATTTCTATACGCTTTCTGTAGTCTCAAGTAACCAGGGTCAACTTTACTCACACTATTCGGCTATTTTAGTGATTTCAGTTCTTGTAATTATTTAGCTATTCACTGTCTCTCATCCGATCTAATAGAGAAATCTCAAAGTTTGTCGATGAAAATTTCGCAACGATTGATGCAAACCCAAATCCATCTGAGGACGACTGCTTTTAATAATTTTCCTATCAATCGGATACACCTAAATTTCTATAGAGCTTGTTGGTTCGTCTTCAATGACTGTCGCTTGGAGAGTTTAACAAATTGACAGACAATGGAACGTGATGGGTAACTCCAAATAGAAATATCAATCAATGAGAAATGTCCGGATCGCTGGAAAAGTTTCGGAATAGCATCCTACCAACGAAAAGCGGAACGTGAAGAACAACTTCACATAGGAACACCAATCGATGAAAGAATACAACTCAATTTCAAGAGATTTAGCAATATTTTGCCGTTTACTGCTTGTAACGTTCTGAGAAAACAAAACATAGAAAATTGGAACTCATCGCTAAAATTCGTGATCAGCAGGGATCAACGCCTCTTCAGTGTTAAATCGACTCACCACATATTCCCATTGCGACACCGACATTGGCATGAGCGAGGGCGGGCGCGTCGTTTACGCCTCCGCCTGTCACGGCTACAGTCTCACCTCGATGTTGAACTTCTTGCACGATTTGCAACTTCTGTTCGGGATTTGTTCTGAAATATCAAATTACGATTTATCTAGTATTTGGAAACGTAATCTTTTTCTGTTCACTGATAATGCATAATCTTCAAAAGTTTTAGCGCCCCATCGCAGATTGGATATATTCCTGGGTGACAGCGTACGATGTAGAGCAGGGAATTAATCTCCACAACATGGTTTTCCAAGTTAAGAGCGAGCCCGAGTTTTCCATCCGGAAGCTCATCTAGGAGTAAACTAATACCGAAAATCGCCGCCGTCCTGGCATAAGTTGGGAGGGAGGCAAATCTCCCTCTCATCCACAGAGACTAGCGACTGCAAGTAGTGGTGACGACCTGTATAAGGTTTTGACTCCGCTGACCTCGGGACTCCAGGGAACCACAATGGACAAGTCAGTAAATCTTCGGCCTGAGTAGACTGCACAGGGTTCCCATTTACGAAATCGGGCGGTGAGACAGCAGCAATCAAATCTCGAGTTGCAAAAGACGTCATTGGAAACGGACAAGACGAGCACGCCCACCACATTCCATGGAGACTGCTTCTTGCCTTGCACACATAAGACTAGGATAGTCTCTTCAGTCGTCGACCATAACGCTCTTCTTGAGGTGCTGTTCGCATCAAATTCGATGTGATCGTCCCATAAGCAGGAAGATGAAAAGCAGGAAGACCGACATCACCAATCAGGTAATGGAACCAATGTCATTCGTGGAGGAAAATTCCCGTTACGAAGTCTTGGAGACGAAGGCTTTGTCGTACACCCAACTACTTCCCATCTCATCACTTTGCAAAATCCTATCACTGCGCTTGGCCATTCTTCTTGTCCAACTTCCGCGTCAAAAGAAGCTCAGTATCATCAACAGCTACTCACCAACTTGTACAGCTGATGAGATCGAAATGAACGCGTTCTACAACCAGCTGGAGAAACTAATCCCTAAAGAATCCTACAAATTTGTTGTTGGAGACTTCAATCTCAGATTAGGAATGGCCAATAAAAACAAATACAGGATCGAGAAATTTGGAATAGAAAAACGAAATGAGAATGTAAAGTGTCTTACGGAACCTCCATCCGCAGAATATCTCTTCTATCGGAATTCATTTTTCGAGAACAGAGAGAATCACCGATGGACTTGGGAATCTCCTGACGGCACGAGATTGGCAGCGGAGATCAATAATACTCTCACGAATAAAGGATGGTGCCTCTTCGACACCTTTGGTACCTGAATTTTGTTCCGGATCTGATCACCGCCTTCTCCGTGCGAATATTGGATTCAGTCACAAGTTGGAAAAGAACTCCTGTCATCGGTCAGGGTAAAAACGAAACAAGTCGTGCATGAAGAGGACATTCTCAATAAAACGCTCTCCTCATTTGGCAGGTAAAGGAGGACCAAACAGAATACAAGCTGTTTGTCGAAGGACACTAAACTTGTGTTTCACTCATCTGAGTTCCTCAAACAAAAACTCTAGACACAACCCCTATTATCACAAAGGAGTTGCTCGAGAAGAGAAGTAAACTGAAGCTTGCTCCCCCTGCAGAACACTAGCACGGCTGATAATAAATACAGGTTGTAAAAGAGCTTTGCATAGCGACTTAATCGGCATAGGTAAAAAAGCTATTGGGAACAGCTCAGAGAGGATCTATTCTAAAGAACTGCCGTCGGTATCCTTGCGAAGCTGCGATAGAAAGCATGAAGAGGGGCACAGCTTTAGGACAGGGTAACATCACCACCCATTTCTTGAAAACTGCAGGTCACAAAATACATGTACTTCTCGCAACCCACATGACATCTTTCTTTCAGAAAAAGAAAATCTCAGACCAGTGGAGGAACTCGCGTACGATCAGTATACATAAGCAGAGTGATCAAACTGATCTTCGTAACCACTGTCCAGTATTCCTACTGAATTTACTCTACAAGCTGTTCACGAAGATTTTGCGCGTATGGAAGACCTTAACCAGCACAGCAAACGGGATTCCGACAAGGATTCTGTTTCATGGATCACATCCAAACTGTAGCACGAATTATAGAAGTCTGTTGGGAGTACCATCACCTTGTAGTGACCTTTATCGACTGTGAGAAAGCGTTGTTGTTGGAGTCAAAGTGAATGCAATCCTATCAGCGCTCGCCGACCAAGTAATGGACGCGTCCTATATACGAACATTAGCTGACTGTTGTCGGAAGAGTACCGCGAAAATACCGTTTTCCTTGCACCGCTCACCATACCCATAGAAAAAGGTGTTAAACAAAGCGCTACCATATCGCTAAAGATGTTTGCTGCTGCAGTTAAGAGTACAATGAAGCCCTCGATTGGTACAAGAAGGGCGTACGTATTAATGGAAAATCCCTGTCATACTTTCGTCTCGCGGATGACATTGTCATAGCAGAGACGATGCTCAATGAGCTAAACGAAGCGGAAAAAAATTGGACCGCAAACAAGTAGCAGCCTGACTCGTTCCACGAACAATCCTTTACGCGAAGGTAAAGAAACCCCAGTTGAATGGTTCTCTCATTAAAGAGACCACCTCGTAAGTGCATCTTGGATATCCAATGAACATGAAAAACGAAACGAAGAAGGAATTATGCTAGAAGAGAGTGCATTTTGGCCTCTCAAAGAAGACACCTTTCAACTAACGGACCCAAAATTACGCGCTACCTTTTTTGATGTAACAGTCCTATCAATGCCCTGTTTTGGAGCAGAAACGTGGGCTGATACTTCAACCAGGTCGGGAAGTATGCGCACCGCCCACAGAGCGCTTGAATGATGTCTTCCGAAAGTTAACCGACCCTCACAACATATTGAACAGTGGAGTGGACTCCAAGAGAATACCGGAATGTGCAGCTCGAATCCTTGAAACCTATCCTATCTTTGGAATCCAAGAGAATACACATCGATAGCGAAACACAGATGGGTCGGTCGTATAATCAGAAGAACAGATGACAAATGGACGGCAAGAACAGTGGAGTGGACTCCAACAGAATGCAAGCGTCCCCTGGGAATACCACCTAAATGATGAACGCAGTGTTCGTGGCTAACGTCAACCATCCGCATTCGCAGACGGCAACGATTTAAGGATTATGGAATGAGCCTTGTGAAAGGCACTACTTTCGAAGCAGACCACCACCACAGACGACGACTGCGCGAAAAAGAAACGAATGGACATTGTGCTGGGGTTCGCATTATCAGTGATGAGGCCCATTCAGGCATCCAAGCAAGGCACTTCAAGAGACTTCAATATACCTTATATGGGTCATTTCAACGAACATTTTTTTACCGCGTAAACAAACTCTGTTTGCAAGCCAAACGAAATTTTATTGGCATAGTCGATCCATCTTACACGATATACGATTATACGCATTTAGACTGTAGTAGTACTAAACAACGAGCAGAATAAATGACTTAAAGGATGAAGAGCAAAGCATTCGGCGTTGATCAATCCCCGATAGATGCGTCATGCATTCAACTCCATTCTTAAAACCATAGAAATCACTGAGTGCATACCTGGCCCATAAAACGACTTGTGATAACTTACCAGTGTAAAAACTCGGTGTTTTTACTCCCTCAGAAAATTCTTTCAGTAATTTACTGACACTAAACAGATGGAGGATCTTGTTATCCCAGAGTGTGGGATTAAAGCAAGCATTCTGTGCATGTTGCAGGAAACTTTTAACTACTACGCTACATTCATCCTATAGATGAAATAAGGAATGAATAAATAATTAACCTTGCAAAAACAATAAACTGGTGCTGCAATAAGGTATCCCATTCCACTTGGCTGTAATCCTGCAATTGTTCTCCAGTCACCACGCACCAGTTACGACCTTGTGTTTTCATCCCAATCTGCAAATATGATAAAAACTGATGATTTCAGGCTATAGACGTCATTCATGGTATTTCAATACTGAGACTGATTTCACCCATAATTCACAACAGCTAGTAAGAAATTTACCTTCGTATAAAAGTTTTTCATTGTAAAAAAGGTAGTCACGAAAAAGTAGAAATTGGCATCTCCTCAGGCGGAATAAATCAGATGACCATATCATTCATTTGTTTTAGTAAGCCGAATGATAAAAGTATTAAGAATAACAAAAAGAATGCTCAGGTGAAGAAAGCAAAGGCTGACAGGTAAAAAGCAAACGAAATTGATAAATGATTAGTCTTTAGAGAAGCCTTTATAAGATAATATAAAGCGGATTAAAAATGACAATTTAAATAAAGAATATCTTTTCTGTGTTTCTCTTTCGCTGGCTGATGACTCCCATGGTCTTTCACTCTCCATCTCTCTGAGTGAAATGTGAGCTACAAAGAGCATGGCGATTCCTCGTTGGAGGTACGGATTCATATTAGACTTTTTCGAAGTTTTTAGTTATTTTTTTTAGAAAGAATACAAACAGTAACATTAACAACGTATCTGCAGCCAAGTAAAGAAATAAACCGCGTTAAAGCAGAACTACAGAAAAGGCGTGATTTCGAAAAAAAATTATAGAAGTGAAAATGGGATATCCATCCTTAGACACGTTGAATGACCAATGAGAGGGAAATCAGGATTGGAAAATGGTAACTTAATGAAGGACTGAACATCTGCTAGAAATGTACCAATGAACTGGCGACTTTTTAAAATTCAAACTTTCAACTTATAGAAATGACCAGGCGACTGTTTGAACTGATTGATGCCACAATGAACAGCAACAGCTTATCGTTTCATAGTGGTTGAGGATGTCCATAGATATCTAAGTACGATGCAGTTTTGTATGGGAGTGTATGCAGTATGGGAGTTTCTTTCCTGGATATTGTAGAAATATGATCTACAGTGAACATTTGTTCACCAAAATGAAAAGCACTTCGCATATGACCAGAGGTAAATCAAAACCACCAATCGCTGCCAATCCAGGAAGAACCCTAATTGCAAGATGATAAATCAGTTTTGCCAGGAAAGGTGTTGATGAGCTGGGATACATGAACATAGATGCATATTTCCCAAGACTTAACAGAAACTGTCCTGTTAAACCAGCAACATGTCAGGCACGTGGAAAGTGTACTGGTGACGGTACTACTCTTGTAAAGACCTGATTGTTACTCGTGAAGACAGGATATTTAGTGATAAAGGATAAAGTTAATCATTGATAAAGTTTGATACGCTTCGCATAGTGGAGGGTATCACTCAGTTTCTATCATTCACGCGTAACGATTGGACTATTAACAACCTAAGTGGTGAGTTCTCAAAATTTCTAAGCTTCAAATAGATTTTTAAAATTCTATATACTGTACAAGTCCTATATGCATATGGATGTTTTCAGATGCGCGTATTTTATTTCATAAAAGCTCTCCAAATTACGATGGCTGCAATCGGAATCTATCGGCTTCTGTTTGTCGAAGAACTATGTGAGATACGAGAAGTTCAGGTGCGAATCTACACGGTAGAATTTGCCTTAGTTCGTTCATAGTTTGGAAGTAGAGAAGCACATGAAACCCAACTAATGAGCACGTAGAACTGACGCTAGACATTGTCAAACACTAGTGATAGTGATCATTTTACTCCTATTTTCTAGTCGTTCACTGTTCAAGAGTAGGATTAAAAACGAATGTGGCTATCATCTTTTAAAAGTTTATAAGAGAGGACTACACTGAATTTTCGGTCTATCTCTCTGCTATCACTATTCGCTTGGCATTCAAAGTCTGCCCCCCCCC